GGAAGCCAGCTGGGAAGGAAATGGAGGATGAAGCCCTCACCAGTGGCTGTAAAGAGAAGAGGCATTGTGGAGGTGTGGGTGGGGCATGGGACATACTAGAAGACTTTGAGCTCAATTCTATGTGAGCTGGGCCCCCATGTGGGACCACTATGACCCATGCTGAAGGCTCTGGCAGAACCACACAGTGGGGACTCTTCAGGAACTTGGGGTACAACTTCTTGTCTGTAAAAGAGGAAAATCCCAGTGCGCAGCAGCCTCCCTGGTAATCTATATGACGAGTTGCTTGGAGCTGAGAAACTGGGTGGGAAACTACAGGCCATCCCTCTGCCTCAGGGCATTTCTGTTGCATACTGGCTAGAGTCATTCCCAGCTCTGAGATTCTGACCGGCTGCTGGGACACACACACACACACACACACACACACACACACACACACATCCTGAGCCCTTGGGATGGAGCAGAGCTTGTACACCCTGTCCTTGCTTCCTGGGCCTGCAGCTGCTGTTCCTGACTGGCCTCTCCTTCATCATTGGCCTGAGGAGGACGTTTTCCTTCTTTTTCCAACGGCATAAGCTCAAGGGGACCAGCTTCTTCTTGGGGGGCGTAGCTATCGTGCTGCTGCGCTGGCCCCTGCTGGGCATGCTTCTGGAGGCCTACGGATTCATTAGCCTCTTCAGGTGAGTACCATGCCCCTCAGTACAGTGAACTGGGGGTTCACTTCCCAGCCTGGCGTATTCCAAGCCCCGTGAAAGATCAGGCATCCATTCCGTCAGGCCTGGCCTGAAAGGCTGCAAAGGCAGATGCTGAGGCATAAGGCTGTGCCCACATGAACACAGCCTCCAGCCACCATCCATGCCACGGGCTCACCCACTGGTGCAAATGTTCCCCAACCCATCTAACAGAGAGAAGGCCCCAATAATAATCATGGGAGTAAGTCACAAGAATGTGTATCCTTTGAGGTGGGCTTTATGTGAGGCCCTATGCATAGCTACAAATCCTGCTCAGCACATTTGAAAACTGGCCTTGGGTTCTGAGAAGCGGGGGATGTGTTTGGTGCGGACAGTGTCAGTAAGAGGCAGAGCCAATATGTGACTGTAAGACAACTGGGCTCTGGCCATGGTTCTCAACCATTTCACTATGCTGCTGCTTTCAACAGAGCCCAGGCTATGCCTGTCCCCAGGGCCCAGTGGCTGCTCTGGCAGAAGCCAAAGTCTGAGCCTTTAAGTAGGTGCTCCCTTCCTTCTCCCTTCTTAGGCCACCATTGACCCCTTCCTCGCTTCTATTCACAGAGGCTTTTTCCCTGTGGCCTTTGGCTTTCTGGGCAGTGCGGCTAACAGCCCCTTCCTGAGCACGGTGAGTAAATGGCAGTAGTGTCTGGGGTGGGGGAGCAAGCACTACCCTTCCCCTATATTCTTTGAGACACAACCGCCCAGTTTCACTCTCCTCCCCTTGCTGCTCCTTCTCCATTTGATGAGATCAAACGTGGGGGCCCTATAGGCTGGAGTGGCTAAGGAGTGTATGGAGAGGAGGCAGCCATTATCGGCTCCCAACCAGAGCTAGGTAGACTCTAGGTGACCCAGGCAACATGTGCCCAAGACTTCCGGTACCTTGAGCAGACTTGGTTAAGTCTGGGCCGCAGGTATATATGTCACCTGATGACATCAAGAAAAGCAGGGAGCAGAGCCTGTTCTGGGCCCCACACCCATCTCTGAGGTACCTCACAGGAGCACATTGAGACACCCAGGAAGGGGCCAGAGCCCACATCTTGGAGCTCCTGCCAGCTGGGCACACCCCACAGCCACTCTCCACAAGTAGCATAAGCGTAGGCCTGAATCTCAAGGTCAGCTGGGTAATAGCCTGGGTATTGAGTCTGCTTCCCTCTCTTTGTCTGGAATAATGATTCTTGCCTCCCACAGCTGTCCCAGAGGCTTCAAGGCTCCAGCTCAATGGTCTGAACGGCAGAGATGAGCTCCTTGAGCTTGGATTGTTGATGGAGGGGCCATAAGGGGAATGGGGGCCAATCTTCATGCGCTCCCTCCCCAGCACTGATGTACTTCCCATCACACATGGGCATCTCAAAGTCCAGAGAAAAGATGGAGCTCAGAGCCACTGATCTTAACCCTCCAAGTCACCTCAAGAGGCTGCTGGAAGCAGAGATCCTGGCCCTGATACCCAGCTGGGGCTGAAAGCAACTTTCCCAACCTGAAGTTATGCAGGGGAGTGAAGATTAAATCCCCAAGCTGTGAATGTGTCTGAGATTTGGAGTTGATGTCCGCAGCCCAGGGTGGGCCTGCTACACTACCCTCCCCCCACCCTGACCCCACAAAATGTAATCTCCACCTCTAAAGAGTCAGACCCTGTCCTTGGTGTAATGTCCATGCTGGCGGTTAACATCCTGGGGGGGGGGGGGGCTATATATTCTAAGCCTCAGTTAACATTAGGCAGCAATGAGAACTGACCCCACACAGCGTCAGCAAGAGTACACCAGCTGAGAGGTGACCACACCCACATATGCAGGTAGAGCTGGTGCAGAAACAGCCTTCTGCATTGGGGGGGATGGTGGCTGCGACCTTCAGAGGCCCCAGCGTGACAGAGGAGCTGGTCCTCATTCTGGGGAGCCCTTCCTCTCACGGTAAAAAGCATTTCTGTTTTCTTTTTCTGAAACAAGGTTTTAGGTTGGCCTGGAACTCACTATCATCCTGCTTCGAGTGCGAGTGTCTTGAGTGGTAGGATTAATGTATGATGCACTATACTGGCTTAAAAGGAGTTCATGTAGACAGAAGAAAGGGTACAGGCAGGGCTTTGGTGGCATGCACTTTTAATCCCAGCACTTGAGAAGCACAATCAAACTTAGCTCTGTGAGTTCAAGGCCAGCCAAGATTACAGTGGGACCCTGTCTCAAATAATAAAATAAAATAACTATAGCAGCAAAGCCCTTGAGGGCAGAGAGCAGGGAGAGGACCAGCATCACTGTTAGCATCCATGATGCCCCTTTCTTTTTATGCCAGCAGTGGAGTTGGTATCAGGGATATGACGGGGAGGCCTGCCCCTACCCTTAAGGTACCAAGAGCTGCCCATTCTCCATGCTGCTCTCTCAAAGCTTAGTAATAGCCAGTACAGAATAGGTATTTCCTACCCCTCCCTTTTTTTGTATTATTATTACTATTATTATCGTTTATTTGAAACTGGGACTCACTCTGTAGAACAGGCTACCTGCAGACTCAGAGATCTGCCTGCCTATGCCTCCCAAGCGCTGTTGTTAAAGGAATGTGCCACTATGCCTGACAGGTTTTGATTTTTTTGAGACAAGATCTCACTCTGTCATCCATCCTGACCTGGAACTCTCTGGGTATCCCAGACTGACCTGAAACTTACCATCCTTCTGCCTCAACCACCCAGGAGGTAGATTTACATGTGTGGGCTGCTATGAACAGGTTTACCTTCCTTCCTTACAGCCAACTGCTTATATAACCGTCCGGCATATCCAACCATGCCTTGTCACATGCATGTCAAACCAGTGTACTGCAGGTGCTCGGTAATTAAGAGAAAAAGGAGGGGAGGAGATCCCTCAATCCCCACCCCAGTCTTAGCGCACAGCCCAGAAGCTGCCTGTGGTGGAGGCCAATCTGACCTGACTTTCTCTCTGAGAGGGCAGCATGTGGGCTTTGAGGAGCCTCTGGGTCAGACTGTGCTCTCTCCTCCCCCCCTCCAGCCAGTGTCATTGTCATATTCACTTCAAGGTGTGTGTGTGTGTAGGTGTGTGTAGGTGGGTGCATGTTGCCAGTATTGGCAGAGAGGGGCAAGACATTTCATATATACACACACCTCAGGTACTCTCTCTTCATTGTTTGGGGCAGAATGAGTCTCCAGCTGCAAAGGAGAGAGACAGTGTCAAGAGGATGGAGATGATGGAAGAATTAGTGGGTTTCTGGGGGCGAGGAAGTTGCTGGCTCCAGACATAAGAGCCAGGAGGCAGAAGCCAGTAGTGGGGCTCAGAGCCCTGAGGGGGTCTGGGAGGGCAGAAGTGGGATTATGCCTGGAGACGTCACGCATCCAGACTTCATAAAAGGGGCGGTGTGTGATCAGGGAGGCAGAGAGGATACGCGAAGAGCAGCACTTCCCTCAGTGTTCCAACTACTCAGGCGGCTCTTCTCCCTCCAGCCCTCACCCCAGCACTCAGCCAAGGTAGGTACACTGTTCACAGGGCTTGGGACTGCCCTGACCCAACCCAGGGAGGGTCTGGGGGAGCAGGCCTTCAACCCAAGGACAACTGAAGCATCGAGTAAGCAGAAGGTAAAAAATACTGGTCACTCCTGACTGCCAGGCTGACCAAGTTCTCCCGGGTTGTTGGCTTGTGTTTTATGTGCAAAGACAAGGCACTTCTGCGGCATAAGGAGTAAATGCAATGAAGAGACTCTTTGTGGGTACCACTTGAAGGGAGTTGGAGGAGTCCTTCATGCTCATGTGCTTGTCCAAGCCAGTCCCCCAAATGCAAAATTAACTTCATGAATATGCTGCTATCCTTTTGATAAGAACTGGGAGGGTAGGGATACTCCTGGAAGGAGCCACCTTATTTCAAAAACCTAACCATGCCTAGAAATTCTCTGTTGTTTGCTAGATTTGAAATTTTCTGGGGTGAGAGGAACCACAAAGATTGTCCGTGGCAGATAAGCCTCTTTTGGTCTCCTATACACTGGGAGGTGGGATGGGGGAGGAGTATCCTTCTTTATTTTCAAACAGTTCAATTCTTATGTATTAAGTGGCCTGTAGACTAAGCAGCTAAGAGTTATCAGGCTCTGTGTGTGTGTTTGTGTCATGTGTGTGACATGTATGGTGAGTGTGGGTATGTATGGTATGTGTTTGGGTATGTAAGGTATTTGTGGGTTGTGTGTTATTGCATTTCTTTATTTACTTATTCATTCATTTATTTATTTATTTATTTATTTATTTATTTATTTATTTATTTATTCATTTTTTTGTTTTTTTGAAACAGGGTTTCTCTGTGTAGCCTTGGCTGTCCTGGACTTGCTTTGTAGACCAGGCTGGCCTTGAACACTCTGCCTGCCTCTGCCTCCCTGAGTGCTGAGATTACAAGTGTGCACCACTGTGCCCGGCTCATTTATTTATCTTTGTGTGTGAGCACAGAGTACATATGGAAGTCAGAGGACAGCTTTTGGGAGCTGGTTTTCTCCTTTCATCCTGTGGGTCCAAAGTACCAAGCTCAGACAGTTTGAACGTGCTTGATGACTTTTTCAAAGGGAAATTCAACTCAGGAGTTGGAAAAGTGGCAAGCACAAGAGGAGAAATGCAGAGTGGCTAGATGAAGGTCAGGCCACACGGCTCCTACCTCAGCAGTCAGACTGATGAGGCCAATGTAGTTCATGGCCTCCCAGAGCCCACGAGAATAGAAGCAACCAGTGGGCTGGATGAGAGAAAGGCTTTTCCTGTCCTGAGTTATAGGCAATAAGACAACTGGTTTCTATTATCGAAGGAAGGACAGGGCCTCCAGATTGAGGAAGGAGTTATCCAGGGGAGCAGAGCACAGAACCCAACAAGAAGGGAAGAAGGGCATGGTTCCAGGCTCCCAAGAGAGCAGTTAAGGCTCAGAGCACACTCCTGCCTGACCTCCCCCACCTCCCCCTCCCTGTCACTCCCATGAGTGGCACCTTACTCCTTCAACATCCCTCGCCAGCACACCCACCACCCAGAACCCCAGCACTGTCCAACCGAAGCTTCAGACCCCTTCCTCCAAACCAGACCCTTCCTTTTTTCTCTTCTTCCTCCCTCCTTCAGTCCTGTTGCCTGTGGCCTTGCTTCAGGCTTATCCCTGAAGTCATCTCTGACCATGTGGCTTTCTCCTCTCCCTCACGCTCTCTCTATTCTATATATACTAGGTTCTGGCAAAGTACTAACTCTAACCTGGTCCTTATTGTCTCTCTGTCTCAGCCTCTGGACACACCGTGGACCTGTCTCTTCCTGCCAGAATGCCCTTGTTGGCTTCTTGGCAGCTGCTGCTTCTCCTCTTTGTCACCACCTTTGGGGAGCCGTTGGTAAAGGTGGCACCTGTGGTGAAGCCTGGACCCACAGGTATGCGCCACCCAGGAAAGGGAGGCACGGGAGTCATTGCACATGAGACTCGACGTGCTTTTCAGGCTGTAGCCAGGCTACTGACATGAGTTCAGTTACTGTGCTTGCTAGATATCAGGGGCTGACCGGGGCTTATCTAGGTTCAGCCTGTTAACCCCGGCCCTTTGTGATTTTCCCATGCTCTATACAAAGCACTTCTCTCTGTGGATGTTGGGAAGGAGCTTAATGTGTACATTACTTTTATCTGTGACCTTAGATCCCCTTAAGGGGGCTTGAAAACAAAAAACAAAACCTCAACACAATGATAAACTTTAATGTATGTCAACTTTACAAGTTCCCTGGGGAAACTGATGAGCTGGAGAAACTAAGTTCCAAAGAGGCAAAATGTTCCCCAAAGTTACTCAGCCAAATACTGACAAATCCCAGCAGGTGCCAAGGTACCCTCCCCGCAAGAGCACCAAGAACATGGCTTCTGAGTCAGGGCAAGGGTTTGAATTCTTCCTCCTTCTCCTCTTCTTCGGTTTGATCTTTTGAGATAGGGTTTCTCTGTGTAGTCTTGGCTGTCTTGGACTTGCTTTGTAGACCAGGCTGGCCTCGAATTCACAGAGATCCACCTGCCTCTGCCTCCCAAGTGCTGGGATTACGGGTGTGCACCACCTTGCCCGGCTGGGTTTGAATTCTTGGTCGTTTGCTTTCTGTACATAATAGAGCTTGCTTAGCCTTTCTGGACCCCAATCCTAGGCATGGAATGCAGGACACATCCTACAAATTTGACATCCTTGTACATAACCAAAAAAAAAGGAGATAGGGCCCCAGACACTTAACCAACAGTGTCATCATTCCAGGGCAAGGAATAACCCCCATCACCATCCAGGGACAGTGGCTATTGGCTCTTTCTGGCCACACGGGATATCCTGAGCTTTGGGTATGGAACTGAGCTCTCCTATCCTACACCAGTTATCCAGAGAAGTTAGGAGGGGCCTCCCAGACGCTTATTATTAACATTGGACTATGGCCACACTCACCTCCACAGTGTGCCAGGGTACTGAGGAGCACAGCTCAATGCCATCCTCCGCCCAAACACCCACTCACACCTTTTCTACTATCTTACCATAACCGACTAGACTTATTGTGTACTCAGAGCTACTTGCCCTGTTTTACTGCCAAAAAGAGAGAGAGAGTTTAATGAGCCTTGTCTGTGAAGTGATTTTAGAGTGAGCCTGGTTAGCCTCCAGCAGGAAGAGGAGGCCTGCACCTGGCCTGGGAGCTATCCTGTCAGGGCACCGCAGGAAATGTCTGAGTCTCGATGCTGTATGTTAGGGTTTTCGATTTTTCCCTCAGGACACAGCTGTGTGTGGGAATAACAACCTTGGCTTCACTTTTTAAATTTCTGTTACTCCAGGTTTTTCATAGCTTTTACTTAGTGAGCATTAGGGCACTGTTTTTAGCATTCTTAGAGATGGAAAAATGGATCCCCTCTATCCCCTGGGGCCCAGATGCTCCAAATGGCCTCCAAATGGAGACACACAACTTAGGGACCAGGCAGAGAACCCGTAATACGGACAGGGTGGACTGCCCCTCTCCATATACTTTTTCCCCCTCCAAACTGTTTGCTTTCTCAAAGAAAGTAGTTTAATAAACGCATTTAGCAAAATTCCAGCAAGTACTTGAAAGCAAAGCTATTGAAGGAGGGAGGAGCAGACAGTCCAGCCACCGGGCTAAGCAGCCAGAGCTCCACACTGAGGGCAGAGCTGAACTTTTGGGGTTAAGGATTTAGGGCCAGAGTCAGAGGGGTAGGGCGGTCAGAGCCGGTGTCCTAAGCAAGCCGTGCAGCCTCAGCGTCACCTGCCTGTGCTTTCTGTTTAGGCCGGCGGCCCGGCGGACTGCAGGAACTCGTCAATGCCTGGGAAAAGGGCCCGCGGTGTGCAGAGAGGAAGCCTGGGGCTGCAGGGCCGCGCGCTCGCAGGGCATCGCCGTGCCCGCCCGTCGAGAGCTCCTCGGGGCGCCAGCGGCCCCTGTGCGCCGCCGGGAGTCGCCTGATTCCCGCGCCCCGCGGAGCGGTGCTGGTGCAGCGCGAGAAAGACCTGTCAGCCTACAACTGGAACTCCTTCGGCCTGCGCTACGGCAGGCGGCAGGCGGCGCGGGCTGCACCGGCGGCGCGGGGCTGAGTGCCGGCGGACAGCAGCCCAGCCTGCAGCATCCGGGCCAGCGCAGGGGGCTTCCGGATTGGGGCAATAAAAGCAACGCTGCAGTCTCACCGCGTGTGATTCTTCCCCTGACTTCTGTGAGCAGCGCAGATGGGCAGGTCCTCTTCTCTCTCACCTGCCTCTCATCTGATTTCAGCAAGGCTTTGGTGCCCAAGTCGGTGCTTTTTAAACTAAGAGTTAAGGAAGGGCTTGGCTGTTCCCCAGTCTATTGTAGCTCAATGCTTACAAACAAATAATAAAATAATAAATATAATTATTTATATTAAAAATTTAAAAAATTAATTAAAAAAATTAACGGCTGGAGAAATGACTCGGCCATTAAGAGTACTTCCAGAGGATTTGAGTTTGGCTCCCAACACCCAGAGGACACAGTCACCTGTAACTCTAACTCCAGCAGATCCAAAGCCCTCTTCCGGGTTCTCTAGCGTCTACACTCACACGCATATACCGACAGACAGGCAGGCAGGCAGGCAGGCAAACAGACATGCATTAATTACAAATAAAATAAATCTTAGCCAGGCAGTGGTGGCGCATGCTTTAAATCCCAGCACTCTGGAAGCAGAGGCAGGCAGATATCTGTGAGTTCGAAGCCAGCCTGGTCTAAAAAGCCAGTTCCAGGACAGCCAGTGCTATACAGAGGACTAATCCCACCACCAGGCTTCTGTAGGGCTGCTGGCCCCTGGACATGGAGGTCCAAGGATCATCTACAGTACCCATCTTTCCCCATCACAGCTGAGCCTTCAAGCCTCTTTAAGATGACAGGCTTCCCATCTGAGTCAACTCTTGGGGGCCCAATAGCTGGGGAGGAGAGATTTCAGTAGAAAAAAAAAATAGAGCTTGTCATTAGGAAACCCCAAGAAATCTCCTCTCCTGCCCTCAAGATGCATCATCCTGAGCTGGCAGCCTTGGGGTTCCATAGTCCACCTCCCCAGGGATGGTAGAGTGTCCTCACCCCTATGTGTAAAGCATCTTAGTGTTCTGCCCATCACAGAAACTAGGGCTGCACAGGATGGAGACAGAGCTGTGTTGCTATGGCAACACAATAGGCTGTCATGGGAACAAGACAACCTGCCCCCATCCCCATCTTTATCCTTGAAACTGCCCTCCAGGATCCACTCTGAGCTCGTGTTGAAGCATGTTGTGTTAGCAGCATGACGCTGTTGGTGCTGAGAAGGGCACCCCAATACCACGGGTGTGTGGCTGTACCTCCTGAAAAGGGGAAAAAAACAACTCAACACCTATTCCCATGAGTGTTTTCTTCTCACAGACCCCAGCCCTTTCTCTGGTGAAGCTTATAGGTAAGAGGAGACTACAGGTCTCTGAACTCTGCTCTGGGCCCAACTTTTATAAAACTCCTGTGGTGCCCTCTACCTGTTCCTTTGTCGTCGAGGCAGAGAGGAGCATTGCCACTTTAGATGCAGAGCAGTGAAGTGTGTCCTCGGCTATAAGAAACAGGCCTCCGTGTGTGTGGAACTGGAGCAGATGAGAGAAACTGCATGTGGGAACATGTGCGTGTGCCTGTGTGACCTTAGCTGTGGCGCAGGCCCCCGACCTCATGTTAGGCCTTCCTTGCCAGCTCTCCCTAGAACTAAGTGCATCCTGAGTTCTCTGTTGGAACTGACCCAAAGGCCCATTTCAGCAAACAGTTGAAAGGGGAGCCAATTCTATCTTCCATGCCTCTCGACCCCAAAGTGCCACATGCCAGACTCTGGGCTTCCCAGTTATCAGCCCCGTGCCTCTGGAAAGGAGGGAGTTTCTATGGGACACAGAGCTCTTCGGCTCCATGTGGCTCCACTTTTACATTCAACCTGCCCTTCAGACGGGAGGAAGAGGAAGCTGTGAAAGAATATATCACATGCCCCAGGGGTCCCCAGAACCCTCTCAAGAGCCCAAAGACTTGAAGGAAGAGATGCACAGGGATTCTCAAACCTGAAGTTCCCTGGGGGTAAGGGACCTAGAGGACAAAAGCATCCATCCATCCCTGGGGGAATGAGTCTGCCCCAGGCTCCACCCCTCTTGAGTAGTTTCCCATCCCTAAGGAAAGAATTTCAGTGGCCAGAAGTAAGAGGGGAACAGGGAGATTTTGACCTCCAGTATTTTTCTTAATATGTTCACAAGGGAGGTTTAGTGTAGTTTGTCAAGCACAGGGTAACCTCATTTCATCCTCCTAATAGCATACTGGCTGGGCAGTATCAACTCCACTGCATAGAATAGAAAACAGGCTCAGAGAAGCAGGTGAAATGTGCCCACATGATGTTCCTGGAAAGGCAGAGGGGAAGACACATTCCCACACCTTCTAACTGTAGACAAGGTCATCTTCCTGCAGTCCCTTCTTCTCCAGTCCCCACCCTTCGAAGCACTACTCCCACCCTACTCCTGTCAGCCCGAGGATTTGCTCAGGATGCAGATCCAGGAGCCAGGGTGACAACACACATAAAGTTTCTGGTCCCCAGAGCAGGAGAGCCTCAGACCTGTCTTTTGCCCTGTCTGCCTCCTCTCTGTGTCAGCAGCTTGCCTGGGCCCAGATGGATGCAGTCACAAGAAGGTTAAGGACATCAAGTCCAAAGAGCTAATGCGTTCTTCCCTGCCTGCCTCTGTTTCCCATCTTTCATCTTCCAAGATAGCAGAGCCCATCATGGCTCTGGCCAAAGTGGGGTACCTAGGGTGGGGCTGGCTTCTCTTGTGGGAGGGTAGTAGGACATGACAAACAGCCACACATTGGTCACCTTGAAAGGGTTAGACTAACTTTGTAACCTGTATGTCTTCTAAAGCCTATAGTTTTGAGTTTTAGGTTCAGGTTAAGCTAAAGCCTCTTAGTACCTTTCCAGAGAATAAAAAAATGTGACCCTATCTATGAGGACAGATAGAAAAAAGGCAAGCAAGCAATGACCTTCATTCAGCAAAAAGAAAAACTCCTGTCTTTGAGATAGTGTTTCTTAGCAACAAACCCAGACTTCTTCTGAGTAGCTTTTGACCTCCAGCCAAAAGTCCACAGCCCCTAATCTTCAAGGATGAGTAACCACCCCCACCTTCAATTGCAGCTGCATCCACACTTGGCAGGACTGGCCAAGCTTGAGCACCTAAGACAAACCAATTATCTTACTTAATAGCTTCCTCATCCAATCCTAAATTGCCAAAACTCCAACTTCAAATTTCCTGCAATTTTTCTTTTAAAAACCTAAAGGCCTTTGTCTCCCGGTGCCACTCTTTGCTGACCGGCAGGAGTGACCACATTGCTCAATGGTTAATAAACCTCTTGCTTTTGCAACGAGTTGTGGTCTGTGGGAATTTCTGGGAAGGGCACGATCTTGAACTCCTGAGCTGTGAGACCCCAGGTCTTACAACCTCAGGTCGCGCTTTCTTGTCATTTCCTTACCATCAGTCCCATGCAGTCTGCAACTATACCTATAATGTGTTACATCACAAGAGGTTAAAAAGTACAGCCTTTGAGCCACTTGTGCCTGCTGGCTCCTCAGTCCCCACTGGAGTCAGTAAAGGAGGAAGGAAAGTGGCCTCACACTGGCTGCTTTGCATGTGCAGTGTTAACAGCTGACAAGAAGCACTGCAAAGAGCAAGGGTTTATTTTGGCTCACAGTTTAAGAGGAGACAGTCCTAGAAGGTGGGAAAGGCAAGACAACAAGGACACGAAGCAGCTGATAACATCAGCTCACTTCCTCCTTTTTATTCAGTCTGAGACCCATCAAATGGTGCCACCAACATTCATAGTAAGCCTCAACTTCTAAGTTAAAACTCTCTGGAAATGTCCTCATAGACACATGGAAGTGTGTTTCCGTGGTGATTCTAAATCTAGTCAGGTTGACAATAAAGATTAAACACCATGACTCTCAAGGACAGAGAGAAGATTCAAAAAGAGAAATAAATAAATAAATAAATAAATAAATAAATAAATAGATAAATAAATGTAATTAAAACAAAAAAAGAACCAGCTATATGGCTCAGTGGGCAAAGGCACTTGCTGCCAAATCTGAGTTCGATCCCTGAGATCTACATGGTGGAAGGAGAGAACTGACTCCCACAAGCTGACCTCTGACCTCCACTGGTAAACCACTCCATACTCACACATAATCCCCCCCATAAGAAATAAAGATAATTACAACAAATCTTAAAAAGAAGAGAAATAATGTGAAGATTTTGAGGATAGGAGCTACATGGGATGGGGGTGGGGTGGCAGAGCAAAGGACGCTGCAACTACAAAGCCATCGAGAGCTCCTGAGTCACACACAGAACCATGCCTCTGGATGGGAAGTATTAGATCTGGATGAAGTTTGGTCCCCAAACAGGAGGACTGGCTGAAAATCCCACATATAGCCGTTAGACCTCCTGAATACGGTACCCTACCTGCTTACCGTAAGCCAACACGCCCAGCCTGTCCTGCTATTTGGGGACCCTATACTCTCCTGAGGAGTACATGAGAGAGAGGAGAAGCCCTGTCTGGGCAGAGATAGAGTGGTTGTGGAGAGAGACTGTGTGGATTCCTGCCTCTGCTCCAGGAAGCTAAGCAGGCAGCAAGGACAGGAGACGGGAAATCCCAGGGAAAAGATCTTCCAATGAGAGTGCCCCAGAGAATGCTAGCACAGACCCTACAGTGGACACGCCCACCTGTGGATATTGATCGTGCCGTTTCCAGGAGGAATGGGAGACCCAAGAAAGCCCAAGAAGACCAACGCAAACAGAGAAAATGAACTTTTTTTTGTTTCTTTGTTTTTTTTGAGACAGGGTTTTTTTTTTTAACATAGCCCTGGTTGTCCTGGAACACAATATTTAGACCAGGCTGGCCTTGAACTCACAGAGGTTCACCTGTCTCTGCCTTCTGAGTGCTGGGATTAAAGGTGTGCACCACCACACCTGGCCAAAGACATTTGTTTTCCTGGCTTTTAAAGACACGGTTTCTATGAATAGCCTGGCTGTCCTAGAATTCTGTAGACCAGGCTGGCCTTGAACTCAGAGATCTGCCTGCCTCTGCCTCCTGAGCGCTGGGATTAAAGGTTCAGCATCACTGCCCAGCAGACATTTTTAATGTATGATTAAAACAGGGAACTAACCATCATAA